CTGCCCCTCTGCTCCGCTCTGGTGAGACCCCACCTGGAGTCCTGCGTGCGGCTCTGGAGCCCTCAGCACAAGAAGGACATGGAGCTGTTGGAGCAGGTCCAGAGGAGGGTCACAAACATGATCAGAGGAATGGAGCACCTCTCCTTTGAGAAAAGGCTGAGAGAGTTGGGGCTGTTCAGCCTGGAGAGAAGGCTCCAGGGAGACCTCATTGCAGCCTTTCTGTACTTAAAGGGGGCTCACAAGAAAGATGGGGACAAACTTTTTACCAGGGCCTGTTAAAACAGTACAAAGAGTAACAGTTTTAAACAAAGAGAGTAGATTTAGACTGGATACAAGGAAGAAATTCTTTCCTGCAAGGGTGGTGAGGCACTGGCACAGGTTGCCCAGAGAGGCAGTGGAGGCCCCATCCCTGGAAACATCCAAGGCCAGATAGGACGGGGCTCTGAGCAACCTGGTCTGGCTGAAGATGTCCCTGTTCACTGCAGGGGGCGTTGGGCTAGATGGCCTTCAGAGGTCCCTTCCAACCCCAACTATTCTATGATTACAGTGTGTTACTGATACATTACAGTATGAACAGGGGATTTACAAGCGCCACGCTAAAATCCTGTCTTTTTCTGCACATTACAGTAGTTCTGCTTATCGCCTGCCCACCACTTCCTCCCTCACAGAGGACCTCAAAATCTTTCCAGACCCTCAAGAAGTACAACACAACAGTTAAATTAGTCAGCGTAATGGATATCACCATTTCAAACTCAGGAGACTATACTGGCTGACCAACCGTGTGCTGATCACTTTCAGAAAATTGGCAGAGGTGCTTCTGACACCTGTGCAGACAGCACGTGCCTGTGCTGCTGCGCATCCACATCCTTGGGAACAGAAAAACGAAGGGTCTTGGTGAAAAGTCAGGTTTCTAGTTCAGAGTGAGAGTTGAACTTCTTAAACAAGTAAGTATGTCTCCAGCCTAAAACAAATTATTTTGATGGTCTTTTACTAAGAAGTTTGAGAAAAGAAAAAAAATGGTCTGTTTCTAATCCCCACATGCCCTTCAGCCTTTGGTTATTTTGCACTGAAATACAGAAAAAAAACACTGTATTATTTTATACTTTTATAATTATTTTTACACATTTTTCTCAACAAATGTGTTCCGACACAAGATTAGTGGGAAAGGTCATTTATAATCCAAGGAAAAGACCAGGGATTGCCTGATGTGCTACCGGGAGCTAACAGGTCCCAAGTTTAGATTGGGGATAATGTCATTCTTTGGTGAACAGCCACTGTTTCTTCAAACCCAGCTGTCTTTGGCATATCAAATCTGCCAGAGGGGCTTACAGCAGTGTATAGGTTATTGCAACACACAACATATATTCTCACTGAGACATGTGAAAGCGCATACCTTTCATAATTTTCATATTTGATGACAAATTTAGATTATTATGCATCATATATTGTTTGCAGAATAAACATTTATTTCCAGGACTGACATAAGGTTAAAATTAAAAAATTATGCAAAACACGTTTTCTTAGAAGTTTAATTAAAAACGTTAATTCAGAAGTTCAGAAAATATTTATAATCAATATTTTCAAATGCGGGATCTTACAGTTCGATTCTTCTTTCATATTTAAGCATGTAAAGAAAAACAGTCCGATTTTCAATGATGGCTGGCAGTGAACTCTTCTGGATTTCACAGGGGTTACTCAACACACTTGAAAATCAAACAGGATCTACTTAAATGTCCCCCTAAAACCACAGAACCCTAATTTCGAGTTGCTAGATATGAAAGTTGCTTTATTTTGCAAAATTTTTAAAAAAAGAATCCTTCACATTCAAATCTACAGGTTTCATTACATATGCAGAAATTAATAAAAACAGAATTTATCCATCATAAAAAATATACCCATGAGTTGGAATATAATATATATACTTATATCTAAAGTTTCTAGCATTTCACATATCAGCAATACTTGGGCCACTATAAACGACCCTGATCTTCCAGAAGGAAAGCTACTGCAGGGAAAGCATGGCAAAAATAGATCGGTCCAACCCTATTCCCACGGACCAGAGGACTGAAGAATAACAGAGCCTCTCCTTCCTCCCCACACTCACATGTTCATTTGCATTGCTCAGGAATCTACCTGGTATCAGCCAGTCTACCTCAAATGCCATGCTTCTGCAGAGACGAGTTTTTAAGTATTGAAAGGAGCCTGGGGCTATGAAAACGAACAGAGAAAACAGGAAGTGAACTGGTAGCAGCTTGCCGTAAGTGGAAAGCATAAGAAAATAATTTTCCAGTGGGAAAGGGTTACACGTAGATAGATTTAATGGGATACGTACAAGGACCACTCTGAAAATAGTACGTGAACAAAGCAGGAGAAATACAGCAGTGGACTGATGAGGGAGGAAAATTAAAAAAAAGAGAGACTGCAACAATCAGATCAAGAAAGAAGCAAAACACCACCAAAAATTCAAACTATAGCAGACCAACATGAAGTTATTAGGTATAGGAAAGAAAGCAATGAAGAATTAAAAAACAGAAAATCAATACAAAGTTTTCCTTAACTCTCTCTCTGCTTTCTTTCCTGTGTTCTGAATTGAGGCTGAGGTTGTAACTGCTTCAGGGTAGCACATCTTCTCAGTGCCCTTTTGCCAAGTATATAATTTACTGAGCCTTAACTGGTGTTAAATATTAATCGCAACAGTGTGATCTCCACCCATGGTAAATTAATCTGGCATTACTCTGAAGCATTTTCCTTCCCCTACTCTGCTGGACTGCCTGCACGTGAGCCATGGCTGCAGGAGCCGTCCACTGAGCTTCACACCCTTTCGCATCTCGCTTTAGCTCGATGTTTTTCAGGCAAGGCAGAAGTTCAGACAAAGCTTCCTGCCTCTTTCAGCTAAACTTCTCCGCTTCTGTCCTTAATGCTTACATTTTACAGCAATAATGCCTGGGCTGGGAAATCGCCTGCGAGGCTGGCAGTCCTCAGGCGGCACGGGTGGCTGCTGAGACCGCAAGTACATCCCAGCCACCCTGCCGAGTCCGGTTCTCAGAGGGCCACAATGTTTGGATCCCAGCGTGTGACAACATCCAGGCAGACGCCAGAGCAACGGCAAGATGCTCAGAGCGCAAGCCAGAGCACGCTTATTTTCCAGCAGGTGAACATGTGAAAAACAAAGTTCCACCTGGTGGAGGGATCCTCGGTCATCTAAGTAAACAGGGTATCCTGATTTCTATGAGTTTTATACACTGATAATGGAAGAAAACATGCTCGCTAATGAAATACATTGCCATAGAAGATTTCATAAAGTTTTTTTCTTTTACATTATCTGTGAAATACCCAATACATAAATACTGCAGGCATTGATGTACAATACCGATGCCGTCTTCCATCAGTTTAAGGCTGTGTTTTGAACACATTAGGTTTTTTTCTTGAACAATAAAGCACAGCCCAGGGGTCAGCTGTATGTGGGTACCCAAAACGCTAGCCGTGTAGTCTGCCACTCCTGTTTGTGAATGCCACGTAGATCCAGTGTGCTGTGCCAACAGCTGCCAGAAAAATCGCCTTTTGTCAGTCCATCGTCAGGATCATCTCCCTGCTCCCGGCAGTCAGAGAGCACCTCACCTTCCAACCAATTCCTAAATAAATGGCTTTATTTCTTCTGCGTTACCACCAGCAGTCTGTGTTTCCTGCAGACAGGAGAATAAAAAACTATTTACGGGAAGCGGTGAGAACTCTCCGAACAGC